TTAAAAACTTTTCAGCTATTTTCCAACTTCTTCTGTGTGAACATCAGCTTTCAAAATTTCTGCACTTTTGTTTTCAGGTTAAAAACTCTGTATTTTCCAGCTCATTCAACATTTTTAGGTTAATATTCAATAATTAATTCATTTCAGCTCATACATTCAGATTCAAGCATTCACACTGCAGTTTCTTCAGAAAATGCACTTTCTAGTTTCGTTAGTATTCTTGTCACTGTGTTTAACGTATGACACCTTATTTGTCTTTTAAAGATGCCCTGCAACAGAACATGACTACCACAAGAACTAATATGGACCAATCAAACAAAACTCCAGGTCCTACCACTCTTTCTCCTCGAGCTCTCCTGGCCTGCACCAGTCCCTCTGTCCTCTGTCCTTCTTCTGCTTACCTCTGCATATCTCCAGACCAGTTCTGCAATGGACATAGTGACTGCCCTGACGGCTTTGATGAAAAGAACTGCGTAAAAAGTTGCCCCTCAAAAAGTAAGCACCAAATCAGTATTTCATTTTCTCGGTTTAAAAATATTTAGCATTTTATGTCTTCAAAAGTTTGACACTGTATGTCCTGTTTAATAATTTTATTCCAGATGACTTTCTTTGCAAAGATCATCGCGGCTGCGTATCTAAAAGCCTGGTTTGTGACGGTGAATTTCATTGCTACGACGGCTCTGATGAGGTCGACTGTTCGAGTGCAGCCACGGCTGCTCCTCGGAGAAACATTCTGAAATGCCGTTTGGGGTTCACAGTCTGCAAAGATGGGAATCAATGTGTCCTCAATATCAGCGTCTGTGATGGAGAGAAAGACTGTCAAGATGGATCAGATGAAGAACGATGCAGTTAGTATCTATGCCAAGTTTCTTTTCAAGTTTTATATATTGCCGTTAAAATAATTTTAAATTTCTGCTTCTTGGTGTCATTTTTCTAGATGATGCAGAGAGAGATTCTACAATGCAAATAGAGAGACGGCCCTCAAATAATTCTCCTGTACTCCTCACACCGTCCATTAAACCTCACTACAGGCTACCTTGCAGCAGTCCTTCAATTCTGTGTCCAGATTCCTCTTTGTGCATTAAACCAGCACAGATATGTGATGGAAGAAAAGACTGCCATGATGGATCTGATGAGAACTGTGTGAAAGGGTGTCCTTTTGAGGACTTTCTCTGCAAGGACCGAAGGGGCTGTGTCTCCAAGAGTCTGGTCTGTGATGGACTGTTTCAGTGCCAGGATGGATCAGATGAACTGAACTGTCAGAGTGTGGCCGCGCCTGCAGCTCAAAATGTGCTGCAGTGCCGCAGGAACGCAAAGATGTGTAGTGATGGCACAGAGTGTGTTTTACTCAGCCACGTATGTGACGGAGAGAAAGACTGCATGGATGGATCTGATGAAGAAGGATGTCCAGGAATTTGCAAAAAAGGTTGTTTCACTTTAAACTTTATATTTAATCTTTCCGCGATGTAATGAACTTAATATTATTGAAACTGATCAGAACTTTTATTCTTTAAACCTGTACATGTGAGGTTGCAGATGCAAATGGCTTCGTCCATGATTCTCTTCTTTCTACCCCAGGTGAGTTTCAGTGTGCCCATGGGAAAATGTGCATCCCTGAGGTTCACT